TGTGACATGTTCGTCAGATGTTTCCTGAACACGACTCCAGTCTGTCTATTCAATGCATCACATTTCTTAAATATAACTGCACACATGAGATAAGGATATGTGCCAGACAATCAGCCTTTCAAGTGAATGGTATCCATGAGGAAGGACACTCACTGTGTCTGGATAATGTACTTACAAGTATGGCACAGTCTCCTGACATTCAGATGTAGCTAAATTAACACTCAGATGTCACCAGACTGCGTCACTTGCACGTTATCCAGTTTAAGCTCCATATTTCAGAGCCTTACAGTACTACAGGCCAGATATATATAAATAATCTACAAGAAACAAGTGAAACATCCTCTGTGACTCAATTATTTCAGTTCTAATAACAATAGTCTTTTTTTTTTTGTCTGAAGAAAAATAAATAACATTATATACTTGTTCTAATTCAGCATTGCAAGCACTTGAGGTTCATTGCTGCAGATATCATCCGCTTCCACTCATCTCTCTGGTTGGTTTTCTTCAGCATTTTGAGCCCTTGAGGTTCATTGCTGCAAATATCACCCACCTCATCTCATCTCTCTAGTTGGTCTTCTTCAGCATTCTGAGCCCTTGAGGTTCATTGCTGCAGATATCACCCGCTTCCACTCATCTCTCTGGTTGGTTTTCTTCAGCATTTTGAGCCCTTGAGGTTCATTGCTGCAAATATCACCCACCTCATCTCATCTCTCTGGTTGGTCTTCTTCAGCATTCTGAGCCCTTGAGGTTCATTGCTGCAGATATCACCCGCTTCCACTCATCTCTCTGGTTGGCCTTCTTTTTCCAGTTGGTGTCACCAAGTGTTTGTAGGTATGTCTGGATATTATCTCTCCACTGTCTTCTTGGTCTGCCTCATGGTCTACAACAATTCAGCTCCCTTGTGTATACAGTTTTTACCTCTTTGCCATCTGACATTCTCTCAATATGCCCCAGCCATTTCAGTCTATCAGCAGTCATGATGCCAGTGATCAATGGTGATTTAAACAGATTATTAATTTTGTTGTTGCTTCTCACTCTCCACTCCCCACTGTTGGCCTTTTTGATGGGTCCAAAAATTCATTTGAAGACTGTTTTCAAAAATGTGCAATAAGATTTCATCTCTTTATCTGTGCTCCAAGTTTCAGAGCCACATAAAATCAGATGTAATGGTGAATAGCATATATTATATACCCTCATATGCTGAATACTCTCCTCTTTGATACTGTGGGGAAATCTAATCTGATTACCTTTATTATTTCAATTTGCCACAAAATACTGTTTGTTCTGCTCTTTTGTATATAATTCTACTTTGCAACTCAAGTAATAATGGTGTTCTGGTGTGATAGTAAAAAACACTTTTCTGTTATGACACAGCTAAATTGTTTTGACACTCCAATCCTAAAATAAAAAATGGTTTCTCTTCCAATAGTAATGGCTAATCTCTCTTTGTTAATGATAAATACCTGTATCTAGCAATTTTTGTTCATAACTTGTTCCATGATGCTAAAAGAACATAACACAATATACAATAATATGTGCCTTTTAAATATAACTACTGTCACAGTAACCTATGCAGATGACTTTCAACAACTGGCAACATTTGCAATAGTCCCATACATGATTTATTCCCATGTTTTTAACAATAGATACAATATATGACCACAGTACTAATGAACAAATATGAGCAAAACAGCACTGGACAGGAGGATGATGAACATGTAACACAGGGCAGAAAAGAAACAACTGCAGTCTTTAACTTGAAGATATAAGTGCTTTACTGCTCACATACTGCTGATGTCTACCGGTACTGTTACATTTATTAAGGTCACACTGTGCTCAGCAATGGTGAACATGGCAGAATCAGGAGAAAGAAAAGGAAAAAGATATTAAGCTGGAAATGAAGAAAAGAGTGAGTTTAAAGATGCATTTGAAGAAGAGAAGAAGAGGGTTAGGAGCAGTAACTGAGGTGAAAAACTAATCAGGCATGTTGATGGCTTAAGCTTACTGAACACATAACAGTCTAGAGTGTCAGCATGTTGATTCAGAACACAGATGCTTCTTGTACATGCTGGTTGTGATCATTATGATTATATGCCACTAAGAAATGGTGTGGGTGCTGCAGTAGGACAATGCTTCCTTATCATCCAGGTTGGGACATATTCAACCTCTTTTCAAGTGGATTTTCTAACTGCCTCATTCTAACCATATACATACACACACACACACATGCACAAACTCACACAATATGTACAATGAGCTAATATGATATGGATGATATCTAGCACTACATCTAAAGCTGCAAAAATGTGGTTATATTTACAAACAGTAAGAATATCTTATGTAGATAAAAAGAAGCACACATAAAATAGAAGAATTACAAAAACTGGGATTCAGAACTAATGTTTTCCTATCTGAGATCAATGCCAGACAATTATTGATTAACTAGTGTTCTAGAGGAAAGAGTTGAGGCAAAGTGGGCAGTAAGAAGACAATGTTACATGTGGGGAAGAAAACAGTTGTCTGACTCTGCAAGAAGTATGTAAAAAAAAGTTCAGTAGACTCATTACAACCCTCTTGCCCTGGGAATGCCTCTTTTCCAGGATTTGGTTGATGTGATGTCTTTCGAAGGCGACCAAATTTAAACAGATTTTCTTTTTTTTTAAGATTCTTACAGGACAAAAGAAAAGGCTTAATTAATCTGGAAATGACACATGGTATGTAAACATTTTTTTTTTGATGGGGGGGGGGGGGGGGGTCTTCATTTAAAGGGTATACTGCCTGTGTGCATTTAATAAATAATATTGTAGTGTAAATAGTAAGGAACCCCTTTCAAACCATTGGCGCATCAGATATATGATGCTAGATACACTTGTATAGACCAATCTGCCATCTACGAGCGATGTGTAGTAACCTTCTGTTATGCAAAAAATACATACTACATGGGTAACTACTAACAGAGAGTATTAAAACATTGTCATTCACTGCTTTCCATTAGGTTGCAACTGTCATCTTTAACGTGGGAACTCTCTGATGCTGAACACGGGAGCACATATGGGAATCTCACAAGTTTGGTGATGAAAATTCATGACTCATTCATTTGTTCTCACCATAGGTCAGATGCGTTTAACAGACATACATATAAAGGTATTTCTTTCACAAGACAATAATAATGTTAATTTAAAGAAACAGCATAGTAATGCAATGGAAGATTATATAATTGTAAAGTAAGAACAAAATTAGGAACTCAAAATTAAAGTTTTTTAATTAGGTTATGTATTTTCTTCTTCTTCTTTGCGTTCACCAGCTGTACACTGGCAGAAAGTTCTGGTTGCTCGTCCATTACTGAACTGCAGTCCTGCTCCAGAACCTGAGTGTTGCGTGTGCATCAGTTTTACAGATCTCATTCTCTTGAATACAGACTGTTGGTTCCTTGCCTCTCCAGCAGATGCACTCCGACTTCAAAGGAAGTTCCCCAATTAGTCGACTCTTACGACATGCTTTTGGGGAGGCAGTGGGTCTATTCTTGTTTTCCCCACAATGGGGCCCCAGAACCCACACAGAGGTTATGTATTTTCAATTCTAAAATGATTTCAATTGTAACATATGCCAGAGGAAGTTAGAGAACCATTAAAGACATAGTTTGTTTTAGTATTTGCTGTTTTCAAACTAATTACTATAGGTAACAGATTTTAACAACAAGCTCAAGAATTACAATTATGATTAAATAGGTGCTCACATTCACTCTTCGTTACTGCTGGGTGCAGAAACATAGTAAATAGAAGTGTATAAAATATGTATACATATACACACATAATGGAATAATACTGTGACAGGAAAATTAGAAAGAAATACTAAACAAACGTCGACTAAAGATACTGTTACAGGAAGAAGGCAGACAAATCATTTCAGGCACACACAAGGGTTCCCTGTTGAATGATGTGTTCAAGAGAAATAAGAGCTAGCATGCAAGAGGAAGACAACATTACGTGTGGGCAAACAACATTCAGAGATAGTTTGAAAGAAGTCTGTATGCGTACAGTAGACAGAACTGGGGTGTCTGAACCTTATTATAAATGATGATGATAAATAGCATTGTGTGTTTATATATACAAGAATTAACCAATAAAGTATCTTGTCTTTTTCTTAATGTTCACCAGTTGTAAACTCCAGCTGAATGTTCTAGTTGTTTATTGTTTTCTGGACTTTGTTGTTCTTGTTCCAGAACTTGAGTTTTGTGTGTACATTCATTTTACAGATCTGGCTCATTTGTATGCAGTATTTATGAGTATTGCATTACATTTCAGATGACTTGCTAAAAACTCATATACATATTAACTGAATAGTCTGAACTCTTAATACCAATTTCAGGGTGTTAATTTTCATTTTATGGTGGCCTAAATGATTTAGTCACATGTCATTAGAATTAAACCTTATAGAGATACTAATTTCTAATACTATTACCTCTGTGTGGGTTTCAGGGCCCCATGAGGGAAACAAACAAACAGATCCATTGCCACTCCAACAAGCATTTAAGAGTCAACTTATTGGGGGCTTCCTTCATAGGCAGGAACCAACAGTCTGCATACAACTCAGTTCTGTCAAATGTATGTGCACTCAACATTCAGGTTCTGGAACAAAACTAAAGCCCAGAGATGGATGAACCAGAACTTTCCATCAGATTTTTTACAGCCGGTAAAAGTAAAGGAGAAAAAGAAAATTCTATTATCCGTCTTTACCATCACTAAACTGAGTTTCATACAGTAACAATGCCTTTATTTCAACTATCAAAAATCGGATGTATTTTTATCTCAGCAGGCCATGATCCAAAAATACCTATGGATTAGTACATGACCTATGGATTAGTACACAGAGCCTCACGTGGCATTATGTCAAACCCCTAGTAGTCCCAATGAGTATCAGATCAGGTTCATAAGGCAAAGAAGTCAAAATTTTAACAAGAAAACAAGAACAACATTGAAAGCAAGAAAAGATATATTTACCGGATCCCCAGCTTGTTCTCCTGCATCAGGCAACTTTTCTGGTTCACTTTCTGCTTCCACCTTCGAGTCTTTAGGTTTATAGATCTCTTTGATATTGGGCCAGATTTTAGTAGTAAATGTGGCCAAATCAACCTGTTCACTGTCTTCTAGATACTCCTATTAAAAAAATTATTTAAAAAAAAAAGAATTATAAAATTAAAACCTGAGTTTGGTGTGTAACCACAGTAACTGGATGTCTGAGAAGGGCTGAAGGAATGGCCACAAGAGATAAAATCAAAAACAAAGTCATAAGAGAATAAAATGGCACAGAAGCAATCCTAAAGACAGCAGTTCAAGTGGTTTGAGAGATGCCATACTATTCAAGGCATTCAGCAAAAGAGAAGGATTCAGAGCACAAAGTAGACAGAGAAATATAACATCAGAGAAACTATACAACAGCACAAATTGTCTATGGTCGAGGTGGTCAGAATAACAAAAAGCAGAACTTTATATCTCCCTCCACACCCAATAAACTAACTAAACTATATTTATAATTTATACATCTTAAAAAAAGGAAAAAAAATAGTAAAGAAATGGCTGGCCAAGTGTTTAAGAAGGCTAGGCTCTTAAACATAGCAGACCCAGATTACTTTGGTAAGGTGATGAAGACTTTTTCTTTTTGGGGTTTTTAAAAAAAATTATGACCGGTATAGTTTGTGATGACTGCACTAGCCACCCTTAAAAAAAAGGTGATTCATACATATAGTAAAGACTTATAATTACACACGCACAAAAACCACAAAGACACTGACAAATATGTTATACACTTGACTGATGATATGGACTAAGTTGAGAAGGGTGCTACACAGGGTTCAGCTTCTGGCCAGCAATAATTAATGGTTACTGAGAGCTCAGTGCTGCAGCTATTTGATTTAATAGGAACAGCTGACTCAAGATGATTAATCAAGGAGGTGATCACTGACTTCCACTTTTGCCACAAAGTGTGAGTCATTATATTTGGAAAAAAAAGGGGGGGGGGAAGAGATTTGTTCTTCTCTGCCTTTCCTTCTTAGAAAGCATGCAGACAAATATTTGAGACTGGTTGACCCTAGACGTACGCTGGTTAGAAAGTTACGCCTGAGCAAATCTGGATTACTGACATGGTACATAAGAAAACTAAACATTGCACTTTTCCTTAAGAATGTATGACTTCTACTCAAATGTTCAATATGAGAAACAAAACTGAAATTAGAGAACTAATGTCAAAAGGAAGAAAGAAGCGGTACCTAAATATAGTAGAGTGCAAAGGCTTTAAACAGGCATTTAAGTCAAATACCTGGGAACAACATTAACCAAATATGGTAAATTGGATAAAGAAATCAACAAACAATGCAGTCCCTCGACACCCACAGCGGTAAAAGAGGAAGTGAAGAAGAAGACAAACAATGCAGTAAAACAGGTCCAGCTGGATGAGACCTGGTACGGTACAGCTGGTATAGCTGGATGAGAGCTGGTACAGTTGGTATATATGGGTTAGAGCTGGCACAGGTGGTATAGCTGGGTGAGACCTGGTACAGCTGGTATAGCTGGGTGAGACCTAATAAAGTTGGGTGAGACCTGAGTTAGTACAGCTGGGTGAGACTTGGTACAGTTGGGTGAGACCTGGTACAGCTGGATAAGACTTGGTACAGCTGGATAAGACCTGGTACAGCTGGATGAGACCTGGTACAGTTGGTACAGCTGGATGAGAGCTGGTACAGTTGGTACAGCTGGATGAGAGCTGGTACAGTTGGTACAGCTGGATGAGAGCTGGTACAGTTGGTACAGCTGGATGAGAGCTGGTACAGTTGGTCCAGCTGGATTTATTTACTATAGATGGTTGGTTTAGGTGTATTATAGACCTGGCAACTTTTTCATTTACTACTATTTATGTCCCTTACAAGCTCTGGTAACTTAAAATTGTGAACTAAAACAATGATATGTTATTACCCATCATAGGACTCATGCCCCACTCTGCCTGTGCACTTGCTACATGACAGACACACTCACATGTATCAAGTGGCGCACTCACAGATGTAGAGGAAAGAAGGAGAAATAATAGGAGGAAACACTAGCCGGATGTGTCTAGTGTGTACTAGCTTGACTTCAACCTCTACATGACACTGTCTGAAAGGCCTCAGGGATTATCTAGCATTTATTTCTGTTTACTGTAGGCTTGCTAGTTATATACATGCATCACAGGTGTATTTTAATTTGCAAAAAATGTTACTGTGCGTGTGTGTGTGTGACAGAGAGAGAGAGATTAGAGAGAAAGAGAGACAGAACAGGGAGATTCAGAAAAGAAACTCAATCATCACTTACATATTATCCTGGTTTGTATCCAATTCTCCAAAGGCAACAGCTGCCTTTTCTGCATCCAGAGCTTTCTGGCGTTCAGCTTTCACAGCTAAAACCAGCAAATCTTTATTTTAACTCATATTGCATTTATTATACACACAAAATACATACTACAGACATAACATTATCAAACAAGGCTTGTATCAAGATTACATCACAGAACTGTACAGACACTAGTATTTAAAATGATAGAGACAACTATTCTACCTCCATAATAGAGGCTGGCTGCAGCAGATATGCGCATCCACTAATGACTGTGAATAAAATGATGTGATGAGGCCATAATCTATTCCAAAGTGAACATCTTGTAACACTGTCTCAGAGTCATAATAATAGTCTCAACCTTTACAGGAGACATCTGTCAGGCATTCACCATGGTATGCCAGTATATGGATTTTAAACATAAAAGCCAAACTGTACAAGAATGAGTTACTAATCAGCATTAAAACTATTTAACTTTCTATTATGCATTTGGTTTCATTGTTTTGTGTGCAAGGCTAATGATGACAAAGTATATAAACAAGAAGACTATCTGGCAGGTTTTGCAGAAATTATGAGGTTTCTATCAATAGGCAGAGAAGACATCTGAAGTGACATTAAATATGATCATGTTGCAACTGATTATTTAGATCCATAGTTCTCAGTGGACCTTGAGACTTGATTTTGACCCTGAATTTGCGGCTGTGCCCTAGAACCTTGAATTCGGCTTTAAGATAGACAGACTGAATTTCAACGTGATCATTTCTCATGAACATTGCCCGACATAATGGGAGAATCATAAGTAAAATTAACTGTCGTCAAAAGACCTGTGATGTTTTACAGTAAGGCTATTTTCAGCTACTTTCGTTTCAAATGTTTATGGCTGTTTTTTGGTAAGCATGAGGGGTGGGAGCATTGATCGATTCTCTATTCACTGTTTGGTTTGCAGGGTACGGATGGTATGCATTACAGAAAGGGTCAGCTGTGTTGTAAGGAATAGATCAATTGACGTCATACGCTGCTAGCAGCCAGTATGGGCCAGGAGAGGGCACCTTGCACTTCTGCCATTGTTTCTGGGCCATATTTAAATTAGAAGAAGATGGGGCCGGCAAAGTAACGTCATTTGGATTTTCCAATTTTATTTTTGGCATAACTCATTCTACAGTGTGTTTTGTGTTCAGCGTTTTAACGCCCCCACACACCCATCTTCCCCCCTTTTCTTCTCTCAGCACTCTCTTTCCCCCGATTACACTCTTCTGCTCTCTCTCTCTCTCTCCATAGTTTGTCTCATCCTCTCCCCTCCCTCTCTATCCTTATTCTTTTCTCTGTCCATCTCCCTCCTGCACTATCCTTCCTGTCTCCTCCATATTCTCTCTCCCCCTCCACTAGTCTTCATCTCCTTCTCTTTCTCTCATCCTTTTTCTCTCTCCTCCCCCCCCCCACCCCCACTTTTTTTTTCTTGTTTACTGAATCTGCTGGTCCATAACAGTCTTTTTCTAGTAACTGTGCCCAGTGAACAAGAAATTGTGTTATTGCTGGGAGAGAAGGTGAGGGTTCCAATTTGATATTTTTTGGCGCTCAGTGTTCTACACCTCCACCACCATGTATTCCTTCTCTTCTCTCTTCCATTTGAACTTTTACTCTTCTACCCCTCTCTTCTTCATCTATCCATCCTTCCTTTTCTCTCGTGCTCTCCCTCCTACCCAGTCGCTCTTCTTTCTGTTCCCTCTCCATCCTCTCTCTTTTTCTCTATATTTCATCACTCTCTCCCCAGTCTCATTCTTCTCTCCCCCCCCCCCACCCCCTTTTTCCTCACTTACTATATCTGCTGCTCCATAACTGTCTTTTCCTAGTGGTTGTGTCCAGGACACAAGTAATCGTGTTATGGTTGGAGAAGTCTGTGTGGTTTCAGCATGAAGCAGGTGGTTTTTTCCTTTTGATGTGTTGTTATATTTGCAAGCAATTCTGACATATCTTTACTGTCTCCCCACCTGCCCCTCTCTTTTTATCTGTCTGTCACTGCCTTCCTCTCATCGCACCTGCCCTATTTCTCTTCTCTTGCTTTATGTCTGTTCGCCTCTCTCAATCACTTCCTCTCTCTACAGCTCCCTCCCATTCTCTCACTTCAATTTTTCTCTCTTTGGTTCTTTCCCTCTGTATGACTGCCTCTATATACTGTACTTCTGTCTCTCCCTTCTTTCTGTCTACATCCTTTTCTGCTTGCATCTCCCTCTCTGCCTATCCCTTCTCTCTCCTTCCCTTCAACCCCCTCTTTGTCTGTTAGATTTTTTCCTTATTATGTCTCTTTGTGTCTTTCCCTTCCTCATCTATTCATCTATTCATCAACCCATCTCTCTACCTGCCAGTCCTGTTTCTGTATCATTCTCCATCTCTGTATTTTACTATTTCTCTTCCTTTCCCTCATCATCTCTCTCTATCCCTCTGTCTGCATGACTCTCTGTTTCTCTCTCCTTCAGGTATCAGATCAAGAGCAGACATGACTTCAGTTTGCTACCCTCTGCCAAGTCTAGAAAAAGAATGTGAAAACACTTTAGCTGTGTGCATATATCCTCATCTGTACATGCAAAAAAGTACCATATATACGTAGTATATCCTTGAACAAAACAAAATACCTGGAAAAAACCTTGAAAAATTGGCTACAAACGTGTGGTCAGTTAGTCAATAGATTCTCCTCAATGCACATCGAACCATTCAGACCATAAGTGCTTGGATCTCCTCTTTGGTAAATTCTGCAGTGTGAAGCAGCTGATAACATCTGTTCTGTGTAGGTTTCTTATTTCCTTATTCTTCTTTGGTTACCTGCATATTGCTCTTGTCTGGCCATAACCCTTTTAACATGCTCTTGAAATTTGGTCATGCTTGCAGATACAGTCATCACTTGGTCCTCGCTAATGTCTTACTTATCGTAGGGCATTCAGAATATCTGCCTAGTCCATGGCTCGTACACCTTCTACAGTTGCTTCATCTGCAAGCCTAGCAGCTTGCTTATTTCCTTGCACGTCTGCATGACCTGCCACAAATATGAAACTGATATGTGTCACCCCCGAACCGCTTTAGAGACTATAACCACTGCCTTTGGACCAAAACCCATTCCTATCTTCCTGAGAATACTCACTGTCACTGAGAAAGCATGCAGCAAAAAAGGACTGTGTCTCCGGCCATATTATTGCTTTGGTCACTGCCATGACCTCCATAGTTAGACTACTTGTGGTCAAGTCAACAATGCCAGAACCTTGTTTCACAATTCAAACTCCAACCTCAGCCGTAAAAGCCCATCTGTGTAAATGACAGCACTTCCCTGTCAATAATTCTCGGAAAATACAGTCTGCACTTCTGCCTCAACAGCGGCTGGACTTTCTGTCTGGTTGGATGCAAACTGTAAAAGTCATACAGCACTCTGTAGATACTTGAACCATTCCTCACCAGGTTCTATGTCCTCAAGTGTACACACCTGCTGAAATATTTTAACGACCTGACCCATCCACGATTTTCCTATTTTAACCTGCTGCCTCTTTTTTTCTTCATGTCAGTATGTGGAGGGTCTTGTGTGTCTGTGCTGTCTCTGAGGTAGGCACATGCTCAGCATATTTGAACAATGTCCTCCATGGTTGGAAAATCAAGAAGTTAGCCTATCACCCTGCCTGGCGTAGCTCTGGTATGCAGACAGCTGTCTGCCTCATCATTTAGCACCTAGCAGAAACCAAAGAGGCACTGAATGGGTGTTAATGCAGCTCTTCATCTCTCAGAAAAATGCTCCCACCATGCATATCAAATTTTCTCACCTCTAAGCAGCAGATGCTGTATTAGCTGACTACATAACTTTATAACATGTTGTTAATGCAGCAAGTAGGTAAGTCATATATGCACTGTGTCTTAACTAGGTATTTTCTCAATTGGTATGACATACCTTTAAGTCCAGGATTTTTAACAGCTGATATCCAGTAGGTATGATGAGCTAAATGTTTGTGACTTGCACTGTTGTCTTCATCATGTGGCAGGAGCAATGCAGAATCAGTGGTTTAAGTATTTTACATTTGGTGTATGAGTTGTGACTCATAAAATAAAGCTGTGTTTTTTTTAATGGTTGCTAGCATAAATAATAGAACCTTGCATCTCTTTTCAACTTACCTTCCCAAGCTTTTTCATGTTTTTCTTTTCCTTCTTTCTCTGGGATTTCAGCCTCCTCTTTAATAGCTGTCAGGGATAGAAATATAGATGAATGTAAGAATATTTCTAAGAATATTAAAACAAATGAAAATATTTGAAAACATTTGCTCACCACTGAAGCACCACTGCTACAGCATTTAATTTCACACTCACTGGTGCCTCATGCCTGTGTACTAAAATAATGAACACAAGAGATAGCATAACCATTATGTGCCTCGCCAACTGGCATGGATTATTATGCTCTAATATCAATTTAAGCACTGATATTTCTCTATATCATGACTCAAGAAAAACCTGAATCTTCTTAACCACTTTTTTTTCTAAAATTTGTTAATCCCCATTAAACTTACCAGCTTCACTATATTCTAGTTTTTCTAATCTCATAATACGGTCCAAAAATGTTACATAAATCCAATTCAATCTGGTCTGGGTTTTCCTGCAGCCAGTCCCTTTCAAACAATAGGTGGTCCTCTGTATGTCAGGGGACAGACTTGCTGCCCTTTGACAAGGGGTAAAAGGTGACTGATTAAGAACATGCTAAAATAAGATATGCTGGGCTGAAAGGCGCAAATATCACACCCTAGCTGTAAACCACAATACAATATGTCAGCTGCCCTTTTAGGGTCAAATATTAAGGAAGACAAAATAGATGGTAAAATTGACAGAACTGTATTTCACAAGTTTTTCCCAGCCTACTAATCATTTAAAATGTTTAAATTAGGTGCTATATATACTATCACCTCATGTGAACAGTGCTGTACATACACTTTAGTTTTATTATCCTTCTAACTATTAATTTTAGAACCTGTAAAATTCTTCTGTGATTATGCTCTTATTTCTCATTTACTTTGTCAAGTTTTACAAACGTCACTACCTACAAATGAAAGCCCATCAGTACACAGTTCAAGCAAGCTAGGAGACTGCTAAGCTACATCACAAGGTAAGTAGTCATGATTCATCCTCTTTAACGACCACCAAAATCAATGATCACGTCCTTAGTTCTGTCCCATGACCAAGCCATCTAGGTATTTATTTCTTGCCTTTAACCTGCACTTTTTCAGTCAAGCTTGCCAGCAGTCACCAAGATTTTTTCCCCCTGACAGTCTATATTGAATTTCTCAATCAGTTTCCATTTGTCTGGATAGGAATGCTCTCAGTTGTTATTTTGCCAGCCCACATTATTCTTTGCTGCTAATACAAACAACAGCATTATTACTGTAATTATTGCAACAACAACAACAAAGTATGATTCTATATAGAACTGTATCAAAATGTAACCATTATTACATTCAACTAATAGTACATATCACATTCATATTGTTTTCCCCAAAGGTGTCTTTACCTAGCAGAGGTGGGGAAACTTGAGTTGTTCAGTGGCCCTGAGAGCTTTGCCACTGGTAGCATACCTACACAGGTCAAAGGGTAGAGAACAGACAGAGAGAGATACCCTGGTCATCCAGGCTAGGGGCTGAAGCCTAGGGTAGATGGTCCTATCTTTGTAAAACATATACACTTAACAGACAAAGCTCATCAGCTGCAGACAGCAATTCATCCAGAGGAGAAGGAACACTGATCACACACTTCTACTGCTCACTGGATAGGTCTCGGCCGACCGTGCACTAAGGAAGCTCATCCAAACAGAAAAGCATGCTGAAGGAGATACCAAGTCTCAAGGTGCAGATAGTCCAGAAAAATGTTGCAACCGAACCAGAAAACTACGGCACCATGCAACTCTTCTCTGTAAGCACGGAGAAAAAAAATAAAATTGTATAATTGTTAGAGCTCTTGAAATGTGTCAAAAGGTTCCACAAATTTTTACTAACACAAAATTAAAACATCACTTACCTTGAAGAGTATTCTTTATTTCCACAAGATGATCTTTCTCTTTTGTAAGCTCAGTCAGGCGGGACTGGAGAAGAAGTTTCATTTGAATTCATATTTCAAAAACAATTATGAATTTTCCATACTACAAATTTATTCTAAAATATATGATATTAAACAGCTTGTATTTATCACTGATATAATAGCGGTTTTAAGTATTTTACATTAACATGTTTCCGATGGCATATGGCAGGTGCACATCAAATAGTGCAGTATTTACTGAAGCTATCAACTGTTGGTTTGTTTTAGAATCCAGAAGCCATGAGTTGTTAACCCTTAGGCTCGGTATTGTGGATATCGCAACCTTTTGGTCATGATTCCATTTTAAATACCGTAAATCTGGGAGAAAAGTGGCTTTTCTGCCTACCCCCGGGAGTGAACCCGGACCAAAAGGAGTTCGTCACCCGCTCACCACACAATCTACTCTAGAGAGACAGGCATCAAAAGTTGGCAATTAAAGTTACAATTCTTGACTTTGGCACTTATTCTTTCATTTTTCAGGTCACTCAGTTTGATAATGTGGTAATGTATGTGCACAGAACAGACTTGTAATTTCCCTTTAGTTTACAGTGTTGATATTTTATATCATACTTTTATATTTTGACACTTATATATAATGTGTATACTTTTTTTTAATTCTTAACAATCCTGATCATAAATATCTAATCATCATCATCAGTTTCCACTTCTGCTGTTAAGCTTTGTGGGAAGGTAACAGTTTGTGATCCACTGCTTGATGGGCAGCAATGGTTATTGTCAATCTACTAAGGCGGTCTCTTACGTTCACTTCAGATTTCTCCATGTGTAGTGCCTGCGTTGGTAGTTCTTCAGGCTGCATTCTTACTAGATGACCAAACCATTTGCTCTTCTCTTTCACAATGTATTTGATGCATGGTGCTGTTCCTACCATTTGTCTCATAATACCACTTCTACCTGTGTCTCGGGTGGTTAGGTTAGTAGTTTTTTGCAGACAACTAACTTCACAGGTGTTAATTTTACATATGTTAGACTTTAATCATCTCCAAGTCTGACAATGTCTTATGTTACAACCGTCTATCAGCTGTTCTCAAACTAAAGCCACCTGATTTTTTAAAAAAATTACCACTCATATTTTCTGCTGTAGATATTTTAAAGAAAAAAAAAAGCAGCTATGAATTCTAATCTTCTAGCACATTCTTAGTTTACCATTTTCTCATCCCTGGCACGATGTCCATGTTGAATATATTCCAGCTTCACTTTATAGCCTTTCTCTTGCTTCTGCCTGAATGCCTCAAACTGAGCTCGACTTTCAGCATATAGCTTTCTGAAAATTAAATGACAAAAGACATTTTAGTTTCTAAACACTGAAAAACACAGGCAAAATGATTTCACCAGGTGACATATGGCAATGAGTCACATAAATGTCCTGACACAGGTTTGCTATAACAAAATGGCCATCCTGGTTCGATTCTGATCTCTGTCCTTCACTTCATGAGTTCAGGTCTTTCAGAGACCTCTGAGGATTGCGGCTGAAGCTATAGAGTTTCATACTTAATGCAATATTCCAAATCGGCAACCAGCCATTCAACAGAGAGGTTAAGCCATTAAAGGTAAAAAATGGTGCAATGTGCCTCAGAAATAAAATATAATACTTCCATTTATTCCAATGCTGGCCAGGACCTGATGGTTTGACCACACTGAGATTTAAAAATCTCAATTCAGATCTCAGACCAACAGGGATTATTATCAGCAATAAAGAGTGAAGAAATCAGAACAAGACTAGGACTGAAACCAGTCCCTGTTGGGATTAGCTTGTATTATATGTGTAAACCTTAATCAACGTCTCAGAAGCTATAACTAAGCTATGTAACTGCTACACAACTGTGGAGTAAGTACCCAGCAGTCCTGGGCAGAAACATTTTTTAAATAAATATATTAATCTTACCAAGATGCAGGGACTGCTTGCATCCTCCTAAAACAGTTGAGAATTATCAAATACTACGCAAAGGCTTCAAGTACATACACTGTTACTGCCTTGCAACAACAAAATCATGTACCCAGTGTACTAAGGCTTTCTGGAACTGCAAGTTAAGATTGCTTGTAGCAGATAAAAACTAAACTGTTTGATAAAGAAGAGATTTCCACAGATTTAAATCATTTGTTTACTGCACACAGATACCTCCACAGGTGCTACAGTCTCACTTCCTTAATCAAATAAGGAGAAGCTGACCACAGTGACAAAATTATATATCTTGAATGCGGATAAAGACTGTGCATACCAAAACCACATTTACTAGAACTGTTTACGTCACGGGCAAGTTTTCTGAAGTATATATACTTTCTATGTGTTGGTGGGAATGTGGGCGTGTGTGAGAGAGCAATAAATACCAAATGGTTTTTACTAGTAAAGAATTAGTTAGAGTACAGGTGTATGATTAATTTCTATGCATAAAATAGGTCAAGAATCGGTCAGTACTTTTCCTCTTCCACCATTTACCTCAGCGAGGTGTTTGGGAAAGATGTAAGGATCGTTTGTGTGTTTTTTTCAATTCATTGTACAAGCTGGTGTTCATTTCTGTTAGGTTGAACCAGCCGAAGTTGCTCCATCTCTTGCGCGGTCTTTCTTTTGGTCTGTGTTCATTATATTTCTTCAGCATTGCTCTCTGTGGCAGTTGGTTCAAGGGCATTCTCGTCAGGTGGCCAAACCATCTCATTTGTTGTTTTTTAATTAACTGTATGATTGGTTTCAGTCCTAGTCTTGTTCTAATTTCTTCACTCTTTATTTATTTTCTATTTTTTTGTTCACACTGGCAGCTTTCCTAAGACATCTCATCTCTGATATTACTATCTATCACTCATTACTTGTAGTAAGGGTCCATGTTTGGCTCTGGTAGCATAATGTGGGCCAAAATAACCATTCTTATGAAATTTGCTTTGGTTGACAGAGGTATCTTTCTATGCATCAGAAGCGGTTTTAATTGTTCCCATCACCTTATTTGCTTTCACACACTGTATGTTGATTTCTGTATGCATTCTTCCATCTGAGGTGGAAAAATGACCCTAGATATTTAAATTTGCTTGATTGTTTTATTTCTGTGTTATTTACTTTAATTAATATGGTTTCTTCTTGTCTGCCTATTACCATTTCCTCTGTCTTATCATTGCTTATCCATAGATTATATTTCTCACACTTAGTATTGACTTGGTTTATATGGTTCTGTAAACTCTCTTCTGTTTTAGCTAATAATTCTTGGTCAACTGCAAATAACAGTTCTGAGATATCATTCTTTTCTTCGCTCTCTGCTTCTTTGCATATATTGTCGATTGTAATGGGGGATATTTTCACCCAGTTTAGGATGGTTGGGGGGAAGGCCCAAAGCTGACCTAAAACACCGAGATAGTCCAGATACTTGGATAAAACGAGAATCTGGAGATAGGTGACTAACCACTAGTTATCACGGGACCACGATGATGCGACCCAAGGTTGCCACTGGAAAAGTAAAGGACCACCACGTGTTGTCACGTGAAACGAACCCGTGGTATAAGTCAGACTTGACGCTGGTCAAGTTTAGTTTGTGTCGACCTGTTGGAGTGAGAGGACGTGCGACTGAATGTGAGAATGTCTACGTGAGTGCCTGTGGAGAAAGGAGACCTGCCGACGAAGTGTGAAGCCGAGATCGACCATGCCAGATTGTGAGATGTCCAAACATCAATGTGAATCCATGGGATCCAACTTTGCTTGAATGCCTGAAGAAGACTGTTCGTTGAAGGCTGCATGAGTTTGGGTACGAGAGCTGTTCACTAGGACACCGACCGGACGTTTCTCGTTGTAAGTGTAAATACGTCAATAAATTCATGTCTCGTAAGCTCATATTGGTGTCGGCTTGTGCCAGTTGTGTAACGTGGAGCGTGTGAGAAGATCATCCACCACACACGCATGAATACTACCTAGACAGCGAGAACCACACACACAAACCATCTTATTACATCGATGTATGTTATAAAAAGCAGGGTAGATAGTATCATTCCTGTCTTACTCCTGAATTTATTTTAAAGGTTAAATGTGCCTGCTTTTGTTCGTATGCAACTTTTACTAGATGTACATAGGCTCTTACACACTTCAGTTAGGTGTTTATTGATTCCAAATCTTCCTCAGCAATTCCACAACATATTAGTATCCACTCTGTCAAATGCTTTTTCCTGGTCTATAAATGCGACCTTGCATGTCTCATCATACTCTATTGCTCTTTTTGTCACCTGTCCTAATGTAAATATTGTGTCGTGCAGCTTCTGTTATGTCTGAAACCCACATGAGCTTCTGACAGATGTTCTTCTACTAATCTTCTTTCAAATAATTTGGCATACATTTTCTGTGTGGCATAATAGTGATATTCCTCTGTAATTTGTGCACTCTTTCTTCCTCCCTTTATTTTTCCATATCGGTATAATTATTGCTGTTTGCCAGTCATCTGGTGTTTCTTGTTCTAGCTAAGCAGTCTGGAAAATTTGCCCGACCCATTATGCTCCTGTATCTCCAGCTGATTTGATGGCTTCTGCAGGGAGATAGTCAATACCAGTCGCTTTGTACCTTGGTGCTATCTTTACTACATTTTCTGCTTCTGTCAACAGAACTGCTGGCTCCAGTGTATCTGTCTCGTCTACTGTGTTTGTTATAGTATTACTGTCTGCATTGTCATCTTTACTCCATCTCTCTAGAAATTATTTGGAGCCTAGTATAGATTGTCAGTTTTATTTTTATGTTTGAAAACATGCTTGATAGAAGAGAAAAAATCTGGTAATGTAATATCTATAGTGAATTATTTTATAAATGTTTTTATACAATAATGTATGAAAAATGAAAAACTGCTTAGTTAAAAAAAAAAAAAAAAAATTTGTCATGGTAATTGATATTTATAAAATAAGCAATGGAAAGATGTGTGTTTGACTGAGCCTGCACTTTGATATAAAGTACCTGATACGCTTAAGCTCCGAACAGACTTAAAGGACATCTGGAAAAATTAAATACTGGATAAAGCATAGCATAACAGCCAATTATTTTTTTACTTTCTAGAACTGATAAAAATATAAATGGTTTAATGTATAAGACAATTTTTAGTATTTCCTCCACACTTGTTACACTTAAGCTGTGAAAGCAAATACAAGTTAAAACTTACTGGCAAGTGTTTTCACATGAAATGATCCCACTATATTCATCAGAGCCATCACAGCAATCTGAATCAAACAGAATACACAGCAGAAATCAATACTTGAGTGACATTCAACCCCACCAGGACGGTACAATGTGCAACAAACACAAAGTGCCAAAAGTCAGATGAGAATCACCTGGGCATAAGTCCCAGAAACTCTGTTCAACCGTTAGGTCTTGATATCATCATACCATATTTTACAAGGTCTTTCTCTGGGTTTCTTTATATTTCTTCTGTGTGGCTCTCTCTGGCAGTTGCTACTAGGGTATTTTGTTAGATGACCAAACCATCTCACCTGTTACTCTGTATGACTTATTTATACCCGAGTCTTCTAATTTCTTCATTTTAAAAAAAATTAATCTGTTCTTGTTTTCCATGCAGCTCTTCTAAGACATTTCATCAATCACTCCATTGACATTTTTGAGAAGATCATTGCAGCTATTCTAAGACATCTCATCTTTGTTGTTTTGATTCTCAGGGGTTAAATGCGGCTCTTCTAACACATCTGATCTTTGTTGCTACAAGTCTGAGGAGCTTATTGCAATTCTGCTTAGACATCTCTTCTTTGTTGTTATGATTCTTAGGAGTGAAATGCGGCTCTTGTAACACATCTGATAATTGTTGCTACAAGTCTGAGGGGTTTATTGCAACTCTGCTAAGACATCTCTTCTTTGTTGTTATGATTCTTAGGAGTGAAATGCGGCTCTTGTAACACATCTGATCTTTGTTGCTACGAGTCAGAGGGGTTAATTGCAACTCTGCTAAGACATATCTTTGTTGTTATGAATGTGGGGGGTCAATTGCAACTCTGCTAAGACATCTAACCTTTGCTGTCTAGGCTAACTGTTTCAAAGAACTACTAAATTCAAGCTTAAAGATGATAATGCAAACAACAATACTTTAACAAACACAGCAAAAGACATGGACACACTAGAGCCAGAAAATGTAGTAAAGATAGCACCAAGACACAAAGCGAATGGTATTGACTATCTCCCCTGCAGAAGCCATCAAACCAGCTTGAGATACAGGAGCAAAATGGTTCAGGCAAATTTTCCAGACTGCCTGCTAGAACAAGAAACACCAGATGACTGGCAAACAGCAATAATTATACTGATATGAAAAATAAAGGGAGTAAGAAAAAGAGGAGGAACACGCAAGAGATAGAGCGACAGACATCAGGAGCAGCCGAGCAGAAATGAACACTAACTTGTACAATGCACTGAAAAAAAGCATACTAACGATCTTTACACCCCCACCCCCCAAACACCTCGCTGAGGTAAATGGTGGAAGAGAACAACAAGAAGAATTAGTTTGTGACCTACAATATGTGAAGATATAACACATCCCAAACAAACTGCATAATATTTGTGTTGATACAAGACTTCAAACCACAACTCTTATGCTGCGGTCTATATGTATAGATATAACACTTCATACCACAATACTTATGCTGTGGCCTTTATATATATATAAATATATATATACATATATATATATATATATATATATACATATATATATATACATATATATATATATATATATATATACATATATATATATACATATACATATATATATACATATATATATATATACATATATATATATATACATATACATATATATACATATACATATACATATATATATATAGATATATATCACTTTACACCAAATTTTATGTTGTGGCTTCTATGTGTGAATATAACACTTTCAACCAAACAGCCATGCTGCCATAGCAGTATCAGCTCCTTTATTTATTTATATTATTTGTAAAAAAAAAAAATTGGGGGGGGGGGGGGGGGCGCGGGGATAAGAAAGTGTGGTCTTGCCACACGTCTCAATTAGCCAAGGAAAAACTAAATCAATAATACGTATATTAAATCAGCTTAGATGGTATTAAGGAAGTAGCAAAGAACCATTTTTAATTAAGCTCTTGGCAAATCAGCCGTAAAGAGCTAGAGCGATATTTTTTAGACAAATTGGCACCAAACAAGTGATGTGGTCAATATCACTTCAAAGAGAGTAATATCGCTACAATTTAAACTTACATTGAAAGACTGAAAAGTCAACTAAGTTCATTAAGTCAATAAATAACTTATACATTACCACAGACGCCATCATTGACTCTAGATGACAAAATGTAAATGCCCTTGTAAGATTTATTCTCACAGTAGAACAGTCCATTAGGGCATGCAGAAGTACCTGATGCGAAAGATAAAAGTTTAACTGCAGTGCCTCAAAACACCTGATTTATCTTATAGTTTTATTCAACAAATTACATAAAAGTAATCAACATGCTGTGCTTGTTATAACAGTGAAAAAGTACAATGCTTATTATTTATATGGTTGCTTGTTGAAATATAATCATGTCTTCAGCTTGTAATAAAAACAGTATGCTTTATTATAATTGTTTTTGGTGCAGTTAAAAAGTGCACCTGCCCATTAATAGTGACTTTGGGTTCAATTTCCAATAGTGACAAAGCTAAATTTGGCTTTGGACAATTCTGGTTTTCACCTAGCCTCATTAAGTTCTTACAGTTCGGTAGTGATGTTTGTAGTCATGTCAGCATGTACTCTAAATCATATCTGACACAGATGATCTTCCATGCCAAGAAGCCAAACTGTCTAGCACCCTCCCCCCAAGCACCTTTTCCCCCCAAGCTTTTGTTTCATCACCATGACATTTAATATGGCCAAATTTCTCAGCTTTTAGGACAGGATGATTTGTATTAGACAATTCTCCTTGATGTGCAGATCATGTGGGATGTCAGTGTCCTTCTTGGTCCGTGGTATTCTAAGAAGTTTTCTCTGACTAGGACAAAGTGAGTGAAATGGCAAATTGTCAGGTGCTGAAGATTAATATAAAATACTAAGACTGTGTCATACAAGGATAATTTGTGTGTGTGCATGAATGCAGGCTCTCATACATATGTATATGCTAAGCTATAAATGCAGACACATACCTGGTTCATCAGACCCATCGTCACAATCACAGTAGTCATCGTTGACATGATCCATGGGGATTGCATGGCCATCTAACAGGCACTTGAACTCAGTTCTTTCATAAAATGGGGCCTCTTCAGATTCAGGAATGAAAGAAAAACTAGGATTTATTATCACTAGAAAATATTTAATGCATCTGACACATAATCATCATTCTGTAGCATGTCCTCTGCTCTCATCATAACCTGCTTGACAAAAATAAATTTCAAACCACTGTTAGTTGTTGTTTTGACACAAGCGGAAGTATTAATTTCTACTTGCAAAACCAAAAACTGTATTCTGTTTTAATTGTTGTAATGATCCTCTGTACCTTTGCTGGCATCTCCTGGAGGCACATGATGAAAGCAGAGGCAATTTTACAGGGCAGTTGGACTGTTCTTAATACTTTTTCCCTATATTATCAAAATTATTGTTCCCTTTTTTTAGGTAACTATCAGGAATACTGAGAGAAATAATATAATCACCAAAATGTCAAGGGCTTGGATGAGGTAGTTAATAAAGCAAGAAAGCACTCTTCAAAAACAAATGGTATAATGAAACAATGAACGAATATTGGCAGTGAGCAAGATTCTGCTATTTGTAAAACTCTTGTAAACCATACACAACCAAAAAAAAGGGTTTGTTTGTGACAAGGTGTAAAAGATATGCAAAAAAATGTAAAAACTGTTGAGTTTAAGTAAAGCACATCGTCTTTTAACTTCATTATTTAAAAGAAATCAGCTCAACTTTCAGTCCCAAGGAATGCTCCATACCATACATTCAATGATTATTCCTACGTAGAAGACTAATGAATGAGTGAGTTATGAGTTGATTATCTTAACAGCATTCTGGACACATCCACAGGCTCTCAGGTTCCCCTCTCAACATATTCATCAGCGTCAGGTGGTTGATAGTGCCAGTCCTATGTTGGTTACCAAGACTGTGTGCGTCTCATGCTTGGCTGTGCCAATCTTTACTCCCAATGACAATTCTCGTATTCTTAGCAGTGATGTGCTTCCAAAATGAATACTCATATAAAGGTCTTACACATTTTGGCTCTCCTTTCAACTACAGCCGGGAGACAAATGTAGACGCCGGTTAGTCAGAGTTCTGTCTCCTGGCTACAGTGCTATTACGGACTGGACAGGAGGACAAAAACAAATGACATAATTACAGTGTGTTGGCGATAGCGTGCACTGCCCTGTTATGATCAGACGATTAGGGCTTGGGTTAGGGTTAGGTTTAGGGTTACGGTTAGTGTCGCCGCATCTCGTCTTTCCACAAACTCAAAGTAGCAACCCAAACCCTAACCCTGAACCTAACCCACACCCTACCCCTAACCCAAACCCTAATCGTATGATCATAGCAGGGCAGTGCACGCTGTCTATCGCTAACACACAGAAATTTTTTCACTTGTTGTGTTCCCTCTAATCCACTCCATAATGTGCCGCAAGAAGCGGTATTTGAACGCAGTCTCTAATTTGAGTCGCAGCGCGGGGTTTGCAAGGCATGTCGAGCTCACTTAGTTTTTTGATTCGTGCCTTCTCCAGTCCGTAATTGCACTATAGCCAGGGGACAGAACTCAGACTAACCGGCCGTCTTCTGTTGTCTACCGGCCGTAGTTGAAAGAAGAGCCCACATTTTTCTTCTTACCACTGGGCTGTTTGAAAACATGATCCATGACTCTGAATGGTTTTTCCGATTTATTTGTTGTGATTAATAGCACATGCATAGGTTATTATGTTTATTCAGAAACATGGTTAAAAGCATAAAATGTACTATTTGTGTGAGCTTTAGTGCTTTACTAAATTACAAAGTATTTGAAAACAAGTCTTTTTTAACTACACCACCATGATTTACTTACTGCTTTAAAAGACGCGAGATTAAATCAAACAGCCGGTTGGTCAGATCACTGTGGTTAGCCGAAGAAAGTAAGAACTTTTTGGCTCTCCTACGAACTTCTACACGATATTATGGTGGCCAAGCAAATAGCCTAACAGGGCCTCGGTCGTAAAATGAGGACTTTCTGTCAAGGAACAAATCGTGGCAAAACTAGGATCGGCTCCGAATAACGAAACAAATGCTCTAACAGGGTCTCGGCGATATATTAACTGTGGTCCTGTTTCTGCGAATTTGCCACACCGCCGACAGTATACCCCGCACCACTACGCGAGGCGCGGATGGGAGGGGCTAAAGTAGATGGCTGGGACTCATGAACAGCAGCTACAGCATCTCTGCAACTTCCTCTAATTTATTTGCTCTGAGTCCCAGGCATCTAGTTTAGATCCCCATCCGCGCCGCGCGTAGCAGCGGATGGGAGGGGCTAAAGTAGATGGCTGGGACTCATGAACAGCAGCTACAGCATCTCTGCAACTTCCTCTAATTTATTTGCTCGGAGTCCCAGGCATCTAGTTTAGATCCCCATCCGCGCCGCGCGTAGCAGCGTGGGGATATTGCTGATGGTGAGTTTAACCAAGTTTTGCGCATGCTGAAAAGTGTGAGGACAACGACGACGCTAATCTGCGTCGGAGCGAGTGGTCTCCCCGCCATGTCGCTATTATCATCTGTAATGTTGCGTGTCCTGAAATTGTCAATGGTCGCTATTATCATCTGCAGTAACACTTGAAATTGTCAATGGTCGCTATTATCACCTGGTACTATCGTCTGCAGTGTTGCATCTCTTGAAACAGTCAAGTAATCCTAGTTTTGCCGCGATTTGACCGGATTTGTTCCTTGGCAGAAAGTTTGCAATTTCCACACGACTGAGGCCCTGTTAGGCTATTTGCTTGGCCGCCACAATATCAGGTAGAAGTTCGGAGGAGAGTCAACTTTTAAGTCATTTATAGAGTCAAGCTTTGATGAGGGATAGCTTGGTTATATCTCAGGTAAATCATACAATGACAGTATTGACAGCATCAGTTGGCCCAAGCAGAATAATCATCAGCAAACAGGCATTCATTTAGGTCAGCCACAAACAAGATTGCAATTTAAGTGTTATATTAGCGATAACAATCTCCAATGTAAACAAAGCCAAAACGAAAGTTGCGCAGAGGGATCCGCGGACCCGTGAAAATGTTTTGTTTCATAACGAATTATAAATTAATTTTTTTGATTGCGATTCTAGCAGTTCAGAAGTGATGACATGCGCTCTTGGTCATTCAGAAGAGGCCACTCTATCGAACGACGCCTAAATTAGATAGCGATCTTTACTGAGCGTAATAAATTTCACTATTTGTCATGCGGTAACTAAATAAAATTAATATCTCCTTTTTAAAGTGAATATATATATACTATTAAGTGCCATTTTTAGATTCTGTGTCCATTTTTACATAAAGATGTGCAGTTTTGCTGGAATCTGTATATCACAAAATTTACAGTTTAAATTTCTTCCCGGTCACTTCTTTGACAGCTAAATCGGTGATTTTTCAAAATGGCTACCGCATGGCCTAAACGAACTGTTTATTTCAGATTAATTAATCTAGTTATTTATAGAAACAGTTAAAAAATAATGCAAGTTTTGTTTGTATTTATTATTTATAATTTACCTTCATTTAACTTTAATTTCACATGAGTTTTAATAATTTTAGATACCTGAAAATAATGTTTTAGCACGTTTTTAACATAGACTATTTTCTAGGGTATTTTGCGTTAAAAATGGACATAGACAGTGGTTTTAACATTTTATAATAATAGTTTAAAATGAATATATAGTAGTTATTTAATCATTTTTTTAATCTTTAGCCATTATAGCATTTTTTAAGCCATAACCTATCATTGGGCATGAACAACATTTTTTGTTTAAAGCCTTTTTTTTTACCCGTTGACCCCCACTCCCCGCACCCAGACTGACATTTTGGACGCAGACAACAGTGGTTTAAACATTTTATAATATACTTTTAAATGAATATATGGTAGTTATTTAATCATTTTTATAATCTTTAGCCATTGTAGCATTTTTTAAGCCATAAGGCATGAATAAGATTTCCTGTTTGAAGCCTTTTTACCTGTTGACCCCCCACTCCCCGCACCCAGACTGACATTTAAAAAAATGTCTGCCACACATTTCTGCACTATGATTTTGTGGTGCATATTTATTGTCTCAAATAGTATAAATAACAGTTATTATTTATGACTGATACTGTTTTAAAATTGTAGTATTGACTTATAGATGCTGATTTAGATTTTAAAAGTTGATTAATAAAATTAATAATAATATATTATAATATTTTCAACTGAATAAATTCACTCACTTACAATTTATGATTAATATAATATTTAATCACAGATCACGTAGGACATAGATACGTTAATAAAATATAATGTTATTTTTCCTCTTACCTTATGAAATGCTGCTCCATGAAAACACAACATAAATCCAAAGCGAATCACAAAGGAGCTTATTTAATAATTTTACTCCATAAAAAACATAGCACTGAGTCAGAAATCGGGCATGAGCGGTTACCTTAGATTTTTTTGAACAAGTAAATAAAATATCGAGCAGTGACTAGTTAAGAAGAAGAGGGGAACACTGTAGTGAAATGTCTCATCATCAATAAAATGAAAGAATAACTCGCAAAGATTAAAAAAAGGATTATGTTAAATCAGTAAGAGGGGCGCTCATTTTCACCTGGTTATAAAACAATATATAGGGGTCTTCGTAGCTAAGTGGTCAAGCCGTTAACCTCGTGCTCAGAAGATTATAGTACGTTAATTTACAACTGCGTTGTTCGGCTCAAAAATTCATTTTTTTTGTTAGCGGAGACCTCTGAGGGCTGTTGCTGGAGCTACGGTATTCAGGCTTCGTGCTAAGCTCTCGGCATGCGCTAGCTGTTTAGTTATGTGGAGAAAGACAAAGCCATATAAAACCAGTAACGATGCAATGAAGTCAATCCACTCGCTATTGAACATTTTTTATTTAAACAATGGAATAAAGCAAATTTCGGTCAGATGTATGCACACGCACACACTCACACACACACAAGTGAGAGTGCGAGAAAAAGCATTTTTCAACAAATAGAAAAAGATGCATCATAACAGGAAGAATAGATACAAAAGTATATATATATATATATATATATATATATATATATATATA